TAGTGCCTAAGGCATTTGACTGCTAACCAGAAGGTTGGCGGTTCAAACCACCGGCCACTTCTCGGAAGGAAGGTTGGGCAATCTACTTCCGTAGTGAAACTGCCTCGGAAACCCAAGGAGGGGTCGCTATGGGTTGGATCCCACTCGATGGCAGTGTGTTTGGTTTGGTGGTGAAGTTATCTTTAATCAAGTCACATAGATCTACATACACATATTAGCGTTGTCACTGTTAATTGTTAAGGAGAATGATACCTGTAAATAGTCATTTAAAAACTAGATTCTGTAACTCTGTATTTTATTTTTTAGAACCAGCATTAGCAATCCAGGGTTCAGATGCATTTGCAGGACCAGCAAATGATACCAGTGGAAATAAAGAGGTTTCCAGCCTTTTGGATAGTATCTATTGGATGGCAGCTCCCAAAAACAGACGCAGTATTGAAGTTAACCGCTGTAGGAGAAGAAATCCTCATAAGCTTATTAAAGTTAAGGTAATGTGTTAATTTTTATGGGTGTGCTTTTCCTCTGGCCTACTGGTGAACATCCTCATGGGATCTCCATATAGCTTATAGATAAAATATTATTAGATTTTATGTCTACTTTCTTTTGGACTAAATAAAATTTTCTCAGATTATGTATGTTAACTGTCCTCTAGCCTAAATATTAGGAACAGAGTCAAGGAACTAGTTTGGAGATGGGACAGAATACTCAGTTATAAAATGCTTACGAGGCTTTGGAATTGGGAGCTGTGACAGTCTTGAGTTGAGTGATTTTGAGCCTCATTTGGGTAAACAGCTAACTGGCAGGATCTAAAATTAAAGTTAGAGACAATAGATGTATCGAATCTTGGGTTTTACTAGCCCAATTATTTAATACTTAATACAATTTAATATTAAATTCATATTTAATAGAATATTTATTCTGTTCTTCCCCACGTCTAATAAAATACTATGAAGGATATCTTAGGTAAGTAATAAAAATAGCTAACATGCATTAGCTATTGGTGTAGTGGCTAAGGCATTTGACTGCTAACCAGAAGGCTGGTGGTTCAAACCCACCAGCCACTCCTCAGAAGGAAGGTTGAGCAATCTGCTTCCACAGTGATACTGCCTCGGAAACCCAAGGAGGGGTTGCTATGAGTTGACCTGACTCAACTGCAATGAATTTGTTTTTTGGAACATGCAGTAAGTACCTACATAGTACCTAAGTGCTTTATGTGTATTATCTCATCAAATCTTCACAACAACCCTCCAAAGTAAAAACATTTTCCTCACTTTCAGAACAAAGAAACTGAGGCAAAAAGAATTTACCTGTCATCACATAGCTATTAAGTGGAGCCATGGTTTGAGCTCTGGCTGTCTGATTCTTGAGCTCACATTCTTTCTCTTGAATGTTTCCCTGTGTGTTCCTATCTTCAGACAATTCCAGATTGCCTACACGTAGATATATTCTCTTCATTGATCTGTTGTTGTTGTTGTTATGTGCCGTCGAGTCGGCCCCGACTCATAGCGACCCCTCCTTGGGTTTCCGAGGCAGTATCACTACGGAAGTAGGATTGCCCAACCTTCCTTCCGAGGAGTGGCTGGTGGGTTTGAACCGCCAGCCGTCTGGTTAGCAGGCAAAGTGTCTTAGCCACTATGCTACCAGAGCTCCCTATTCATTGATCTAGTGAATAAAAATTAAACTGCTTATTACCACTGATCTGTTAATACATGGATTTTAAGAGTCATAATTTCAATTACTGTTTACTTCATGGCATTCCACAGCAGCTTTGCTGTTTTATACTTATTTTGTATTTAAAACTGGATCAAAAAACCCCAAACTTATGCCATAGAGTCAATTGCCCCTCATGATGCCCCCATGTGTTACAGAATAGAATCTAGCGCCATAGAGTTTTCTTGGAGGTAATTTTTATATAAGACCAGGTGGCCTTTTTTCCACAAGGCCACTGGATGGGTTTGAACCTTCATCCTTTTGGTTTATAGTCTAGTGAAAACTGTTTGTGCCACCCAAAGACCTATAAGGTTAGATAAACATGTATCAAAACTCATTAAAATAAAATTTAAAAAATCTCATTAAAATACCCTCAAATATAATATGATGAGGAACTTTTACATTAAGGAATAATCATGCTATTTACAAAAAGAAGAATTACACCGTATACCAAACTCACACTTTTTACAGGAATTTAAATGAAACTGTATGCTGCAGGGCAAGCTGACTCATTCTATTTTTATTATCTTGTTTTCTCCAAGATTGAAAGAAAAAATTTCTCGACAGCACATAACAACAACAACAGCAACAGTTTCTTTTTTAAGTTGCTATATATACAGATCATTCTGTTGGTATATTCCTTATTAGATATTTAGTATGTGGGATTAAAGGAGTGCTGATAGCACGGTGGTTAAAATGCTTGGCTACCAACTGAAAAGTTAGTGATTTGAACCCACTACTCACTCTGTAGAAGAAAGATGTGGCCGTGTGCCTCCCTAAAGAAACCTATGGAGTAGTTCCCTGTCTTGTAGGATCACTATGAGTCAGAATTGACTCAGTAGCAATGATTTTTTTTTTTTTCTTTCACTTTTTTGGTTTATTTGGGATTAAGAGGAATAGATCACCTTTTTACATTAATATGACTGCTGTGTCTAATTAAAAAAGTACCAGATTGAAAGTTGATAGACCTGAGTTCTAGTCTGAATTTTTCTACTAACTCAAACTCAATATTGCTTGCCCTTAGTTTCCCTATTTAACTAGATGGTATATTGACTCATGGAACATGAGCATTGTAAGACAGTGAAAATGTAAGCATCACTCCTGTCAGTTTTTATTTGTGTATTATAATGCATCTAGTTAAAATGTGTTTTTATTCATTTCTTTTTAAAGCATAATATAGACATTTGTCCTGAATGTGGTCACCTGAAACAGAAACACATCCTTTGTGGATTTTGCTATGAGAAGGTGTGCAAAGAGACTGCGGAAATCAGAAGACAGATAGGAAAAGCAGAAGGGGGTCCTTTTAAGGCTCCTATTGTAGAGACAATGGTTTTGTACAGGGGGGAGAAACCATCTGAACAGGATCAAGGCAAGAGGATCATTGAACGAGACAGGAAACGACCATCCTGGTTCACCCAGAATTGATACCACAGATGTTTAAAGAAGATAACTGCAAAAATATTTCTCCTGAAAGACAAAGATTCTTTGTTTTCATGTTGCTTTATACTTGTTAATGTTTTTAAATCATCAATATAGTTGAAGGAATTTTATGGGGAATAATTTGAAGAATATATCATGAATAAACTAAATATTTGTGAAGAGTCCATACACTATAAGGCTTTAAGTAAACATAAAACTTCTAGAACAGAAAAATAAAATAATTTAAAATTCATAGCAAAAATTGTTTATTTTTGCTCTGATTTCTATTTGTTGGTTTTTCTTACACAAGAATACTCACACAAATATACTTGGAAATAGGCTATTATTTGAATTCTTGATATTTTTAAAAATGGTAGTTGTGCCAGTTTCTTATATGTACAATTGTGTGACATTAATTACAATGTTACACAACTCACTTGATATGCAAATTTAATTAGATATAGAAATAGTTCTCAACATTTCAAGAAATCAAAATGATGTTCAGACCTTATTAAATGATTCATGAGACTTAATTGTATGGTTGTAGAAGAGAGATTTTTCAGTAAAGGAAATGTGAGCAATTTCAATACACAAAAGCCGTGCTAAGGTTAAACTTGCATTTTCCTTGTAGTATGTCCTTTTATACTTTTATTGTTTTTATCTCTATACAGATAGCCTTCTTAACTTACTTCCATTAATTTCACTTTTTCCTCTCATCATTCCTGTGTCCACCTGGAACCCAGGATTTGATATTTTGTTTCCTGCCAAGCCTTTATGCTTACCTTCTACCCCAATGTACACACCAGCCGCTCAGGCTTTTGAGATTATGACTGTGTTTAGCAGAAATTCACCACCTTCTCAGCATACATCACTCCTCTTCCACTGGTTTCAGTTTGCCTCACTGTCCGTTTTTCTCTTGCTTCATTAGCTGTTCCTTCTTAGTTTCCTTTGTTGACTCCTCCTCCATAACTTTATCAAGACTCTATCCTTGGAATTTCTTTAACTTCACTTACCATAGGTGGATCTGATCCAGTCTTATGACTTTAATCAGCTAGATATAACTTCCAATTTGATATTTTTAGCATGGACCTCTCCCCAAACACCAGACTCATTCAACTGCTACTTGGCATCTCTAGTTGATTATCTTAACAGAGCATCTTAAACTTTATCATCTCCAGCCCAGAATATCTTTTCTCTCTCAATCCTACTACTTCCTTAGCCATCTCTATTCTCAATTGATGCGAAATCCATTCTTGTTTCTCAATCCCAAACTATAGAGTCATCCATGACCTTTCTCTCTGTCCCCCCACATCCAAGCTATGACCAAATCTGCAAATCCCATGGTTCTACATTCAATATATACCAGCATCAGATTGCTTATTATGACCTGCACTGTTAAACCACCCTGAGCAGAGCCCCCAACATCTTGCCTAGAATACTAAATACTAATAGGCCTCCCTGCTTCAGCCTTGGTCTTATATACTATATGTTCAACACAGCAGCTGGAATCCTTTTTAACACAAAACACATCTCTCCTCCACTCAAAATCCTTTATTTAAAGCCCTAACCTGGTAGTGTAGTGCCTAAGGCACTTGACTGCTAATGAGAAGGCTGGCGGTTCAAACCCATCAGCCACTCCTCAGAAGGAAGGTTGGGCAATCTACTTCCATAGTGATACTGCCTCGGAAACCCAAGGAGGGGTCAATATGAGTTGGGTCCGACTCAATGGCACATAACAACATGAGTGAAACACGTGGAAATTCATGAGAAGATACACATAGGTAAATCAGGAAGGTGGGTGTTCATGTACGTGGAGTGTCCCAAGGCAGGCTGCAGTAGGCCAGCCTGGGACCAGCGGAAGGTGTATGTATGTTTATGTACATGGAGCACCCTGCAGGCAGGCTGGGTAAGTGAGCAGGGCAGGGGAGACCAGAAAATGAGCAGAGCAGTTTGGAACAGCTAATGGAGACAAACTTGCTTTTCAGTTTGTGGCACTGTGTGGTGGCTTGAGTGTTGCTGTGAGGCTGGAGGCTATGCTACTAGAGTTTCAAATGATAGCATGGTCATCCGTGGTGGACAGGTTGCCGGGGAGCTTCCAGACTAAGACTCAGAACAAGGAAGAGGACATCCACTTCTCAAAGAATTGGCCAATGAAATCCTTACGAATAGCAGTGACACACTGTCTGATACATTACTGGAAAAATTTATTATTAGCCCTGAAGCACTGTGTGATAAAGTGCCAAAGATGAGCCACTCTAGTCAGAAGGCACTCAAGAATAAGACTGGAGGTTCCAGTAAGGTGGTGGAATAGGCAGAAAGACTGCACAGACCCTCGTCGACAAAGAAAAGGAGAACCAATTAACACAGATACAGAAGATAATTCTGGACCCCTGAGCTTTGAAGAGAAGGATATAGAAGTGGACTAAACTCCAACTAGCAGAAGAATTTGCATGAAAACACCAAAAAAGGAGACATACGGAGCTGCAGTCTGGAAGCAATCCTGATGGCACAGACAGCTTGGATACTGCCAAGTGGTGATAGGACCTAAGAGTTAACCTAAAAATCAGCACTGCTAGCCAGGGACTGCATGGAGGACTGCCCTGGAGGCTAGTGAATAAAAGGGGAAGCAGAGAAGAGGAAGGTGGGCTCAGCTGTGGAATTTTGCCTGTCCAGAGGGTGTAGCCATTGTGAATGTTTACCAGTGGTAAATATTCAAAAGTCCAAAATACCATTTTGCATATTTAAAGCAACAGTGTTCTCCCAGATTCAAGGGACTGAAGAACAGGCTCCACTTGCTGGGAACCACAAGGACATTCCGGATGCTGACAACTGGAAAGGTGCGATATTTCCCTTGTTACTATTATACCCCACACCCTCTTGGGGAACGGAGGTGCAGCCATCCCTCACTCCCACCCACCTAGGCCAGCAGGAATTCTATCTCAGTCTGTGTGCTCGGACAGAGCCTGGGTGCACTGCCCCACCCCCAGATATTGCAGAGTACCCTGCCCCTTTTTTTTTCTTTTTTTGGTTATTGTGCCTGTGTTATTACATGGTGTGTTTTTTGTCCATTTGCTTTTACTTTTTTGAGGGGTATTCAGTTGTTTTATCTAACTGAGTGGGAGACAGCAACCATCCCCATACGACACAACTACACCCACACCTCCTGCAGCTTCACTTACTGAGTGAGAGCCACCACTTCCTGATAAACAACCACCAAGAAGAGCCTGACACACCCTTAGCTGCTCTTCACAAACAGTTAACAGAGATCTGAAGACAACAATGTAATAACATCTTGGAGAAAACAGACCATCACAGTCCACACAAAGGAGCAAGATAAAGTGGTAGAAACAAGGGAGCAGGATACAGACCCAGAACACATCCTTGAGGAAGAAGCAGCATTGGAACACTCTGATAAGGAATTCAAAAGAATGATATTTACGTATCTTCAAAGGATTGAGAGATAGATCAAGGAAAACACAAAACCCTAGAAGAATTTCAGAAGACAGTACAAGAACAAAATGACAAAATAAATGAAAAATTAGAAATGATTCAAAATCTACAGATAGAAAATCCAGAAGATTAGTACTAAATTTTCAGGAATAGATAGCACATTGAAAAGGCAAAAGAGTAGAACTGATGCAATGGAAAACAGAATTAATGAGATTGAAGACAAATACCTGAATACTATCTTGGAAACGACTCGACGGCACTTAACAACAACAACAACAACAAATCTTGGAAAGGGATCAGTCAGGAAAAAAAAAGATCAAACCAAAATGAAGAAAGCATAAAGGTCATGTGGGATACCATCAAAAGGAATAACCTATGTGTCAGTGGAATTCCAGAACAGGAAGGGGAAAAAACACCAAGAAAATTGTACAA